AGTGCCTCGGCGGCGCGGCTGCCCTGACATCCCCTGGATGGTTAACACGGGGCTTATGCGCTGGTTAACAGGCTCCGAGCTGCTCAGCGACTTGTTTTAAGCATTTCTCCCTCGCTCTCGCTTTTAATCTTGTCTCTAGTGGCGTGTGTAGGGGGGAGGACTTTATTTCCATTGGCTAAGCGCTCCCTTCCCACCCACATCCCTTCCACATCACCTTGGTGTCTCCCTAAATAAAACCAGCCCTCCTTATCGCCTGGAAAAAATCAGGAGCTAGAGTTTGAATGGGTTTTATATAAACACTCACCCCTGCCAGTGTGCGGCTGGGCTCTCAGGATAAACTCGTCTGGCCTGATGCTTGCCTGGCGTTCTCTGCCTTGAACAGCAAGGTATAATCAGAGTCCGGGACTGGGAACTCTTCCCTGAAATTTGATCAACCTGAAGCCAGTTGCGGAACTGCACAGGGTCCCGATGGACCTCAAGGAGAGTCCCAGCGAGGGCAGCCTGCAACCATCTAGCATTCAGATCTTCGCCAACTCCTCCACTCTCCATGGCATCCGCCACATCTTCGTGTATGGGCCGCTGACCATCCGGCGTGTGCTCTGGGCTGTGGCCTTCGTGGGCTCTCTGGGCCTGCTGCTGGTGGAGAGCTCCGAGAGAGTGTCCTACTACTTTTCCTATCAGCACGTTACCAAGGTGGACGAGGTGGTGGCCCAGAGCCTGGTCTTCCCAGCTGTGACCCTTTGCAACCTCAACGGCTTCCGGTTCTCCAGGCTCACCACCAATGACCTGTACCACGCTGGGGAGCTCCTGGCCCTGCTGGACGTCAACCTGCAGATCCCCGACCCGCACCTAGCTGACCCTACAGTGCTGGAAGCCCTGCGGCAGAAGGCCAACTTCAAACACTACAAACCCAAGCAGTTCAGCATGCTGGAGTTCCTGCATCGCGTGGGCCATGACCTGAAGGATATGATGCTGTACTGTAAGTTCAAGGGGCAGGAGTGTGGCCACCAAGACTTCACCACAGTGAGTACTTTGTTTTCCGATCACTCTTGCACTTGGCCCTCTGCAGAAGTGGTGCGCCGGAGATCTCTTCCTTGTTTGGGGGTCTCCTTGTGTTACGAAGCAGGAGAGAGAGCAGAGCAGCTGAAGGCCAAGAGGGTAATTGGTGAGAGTTGTAGCAAAGGTTACCTACCCGAATGGAGCACTGTGGTCTGTTCGGATGTGGATGGTGACAGGGGCTTGCGGTGGGGTCACTCTGCCAGATGTGCTGAGTTGGCTTCCTTCCAGTCGGAGGGAGGAGGCCTGTGTTGTCCGTTGTCCAGGGCATTGGTGTCCGAGCTGTGTGATTGGAACAGCTTATCATTGATGAGGTGGCATCCTCTCTCTCTCTCTCTCTCTTTCTCTCTCCCTCTCCCTCTCCCTCTCTGCTCGGAAGTGGCATCAGACACTGCATCCTGTGGGTTGGGCTGGAGCTAAAGCTGTCAGAGAAGGGGGAGTGAGGCCCCCACAGCCTGGATGGCTCCTGTGGCTTGGGGAGCTTGCTGGAGCAGCCAAAGCTGCAGAGGTGTTGAAGGCTCTCTGCTGCCTGTTCTGGTGTGGATCCTGAGCTCTTTGTGGGGACAAGGAGAGGCTGGGATCCCACCTGGTCCAGTGGAAGGTTGAAGCAAGGAGCTGTCCAGAGTGGTTGGGCAGAGAGCAGGGCCTGGGTGGAGGCACATGTGCAGGTGGGCAGTGAGATGCCTGTGAGGGAGACCGGGTCCTGGCAGCTGGCTTGCCTAGGAGCTTTAGCTTGAACCTCAAGGCTCGTTTTCCCTGTGTACAATTGTTTTACAATGTGAGTGCGGAGGGAGGGGCTGGAGAGGGGGTAAGCAGCTGTGGGATTGGAAAGCCTGAAGGGAAGTGGGGAGCTGAGTAAAAGAGGAAACACAGAAGGGGAGGTGGCTTACAGTGAGAATGGAACTGCGGGAGGGGGCTGAGAGAGCAGGACGGGAGGCCAGCTGTTGTTGCCAGTGTTCTTGGTCCAATTAGTGGACTACTAGGCATAACTTGGCATAACAGGTCCGACGGCAGCTGCTGACTCCTCCACACCGCCAGTCAAGTCTGGGGCATTATGGGCTGTGGGACCTTCCGGAAATCCAGTGTAGCTGCTTCCCACAGAGCTGGTTTGGGGAAGAAGGAGGGTGTTTGAGTCCCAATGCCTTGAACTGAAATGTAATCGCAAGTTGGGGGTGCAGGTACCGCAGTGCCAAGGGACTGAGCTGTGTCGTCAGCACTTACCTGTGGCCCTCTCTCTTTCAGGCATCCTCTACCTTCTTTTTCCAGCCCCTCTCTGGTTCTCCTGCCTCTTGCTTTAAGGTTCTTTTAATGCCACAACTAGTCTCTGCCTGCAGCCTCTGCACTGACTGTGGGCTGTCTCTGATTTAGGAAAAGCCCAGAGTTCTGGGGGCACTGCTTTTCACAGCCCATGTGCTGGAGCTCTGTTTCCTGGGGGAGCCCTTTTGTATTTTTTCCCTTTTAAGCATTCTGAGCAAGAGCACAGCAAAACCAGCAGTAGCATCTGCTGAAGAGGAAGCCAGCCTGAGCTGGAAGAAGGGACCAGCTCCTCTAAATGGAGCAAACAGGACCCTAAAACATGTCATGCACAAATGATGTCTTAGCTGCCCTGGGGAGTGATGGAGAAAATGCCTCATTCTTGGAGGCTGAAACGGTCACTGATTTCTACTCCATGCTTCCTACTGCCTGGCAACGCTTAGCTTCACCACAGTACCATGAATCTCAGAAATGCATTCAGCTGTTCCTCTGTCTGCCTGTGCACATATGGAACACACAGATGACAGAGAGTATGGCACTGAGATGCTGCAATGTTGGACTGAACCCTTAGGCATCTTCATGACTGCACATCTAACTTGTGGCTTCCTCCGTGCATTCGGGTACAGGTTCTGTTTAAAAGGGAGAATTTCTGACCACAGGCTTCTCTCTTTCACTTTGGCTGTCATGTGATTTGCCAGGGTCCCAAGATGCCAACGATTGGTACTTATATCTTTACCTGAGCTTTTGACCTACCAGGATGCCTCCCAAATAATGAAGTTGCCTGTGGATAAGATTTATTACTTAGTTAGTTGTATGTCCTTATCTGCCATTCTCACCACGATCGAGATGGATCTGTTTGTGTGCCTGTCTTTGGACTGGCCCTTTATGCATGACCTTTTCCAGAGCTCAAAAAAGGGTGACCCTCAGTGATGCTCTTCCACGTGTTCAGGGAAGGCAGACAAGGCATCCACTCCAGAAAAGCTGGAGGAGACCGTGGAGGCTGGTTGCAGTGAGTAGCCATGCTGAGCCTCTACACGACAGCATCATGCCACGTTTGTTTACGACCTTGCAGTGAGGAGTGATCCTTCTGGCTCACCCTTGGTCTCCTTGTGTCCTGTCGGCCCTGGGTGGATGCATGCTCATTCTTGGGCTCCCATGCCAGAAGACAGCTGGGGACTTGAGCAGTAGTTGGAGAAGCCAGCTCACTAGCCCTCTCTCAGGCATTCTGTCTTCTGCATGTCCCTCTTGACACGCTCTTGTTTACAAGCTCTGCCTGGGGTGCACTATACTATGCTGTCTTCTTCCTCTAAGTGCTGTCTTTGACTGCCTTAGTAGAGAACTTAAGTGCCGGGGAGAGGGTGTCATAGGTGGATGGCTTTTTTTTTTTTTTTTTGTATTTTTCTATACAGTAAGCATACCTAGTGGCATCTCCAGGGCTAATGATTTAGCATAAGCTTCCTTATTCCAAGTTCTTAGCTGGTGTGCAATGAAGTGCGTAATACCCTTTAATTAGGGAATAAGCCATGATTCTAGCAGAGCAAGACAGTCTCTTCGCAGAGACTAAAAGATCCTGGGAAGCCGGGTGAAAAATGCCACCTGCCATGTAAACAGGTGTGCTCTATACACAGGCAGGTACATGTTAGCTCTCACCTGGGACAACTTGACTTCAAATAGGCATGTTTTCTTTCCTGGGAAAGAAAGCCACAGAAAACTTTGACTCCAGGATGTGTTCTTGGAGGAGATGACCTGTTACCTGGCGTGAAAGGAAGGGGTGGAAATTTGGATGGAGGTTGTGTCTCTGGTGATGATGCCGCATGATCTGAGTTCAAGACTAAGAGTAGGAAGACAGAGGTTTGAAGTTTAGTTACATCAATTTCATCCTTTTTCTATTTTTCTATGGGTTTTATCTTGCATCCTCTCTAGGTCCCTGCTTGCTCATCTAACATGTGATAGTGATGATGTGACTTTCTAATTCAGAGGGTTATTGGGAGGATGAAATGTGAGGTAGAACATGTGAAAGCCCTTTTGTGCATATCTCCAGCTGTGCAGAGGCAAGGTGGTTATTACCAGTATTAGTAGGAGGGTTATTGTCCTGCCTACCGGCTCTGTTTGCAGGAGGCAGACTTGACGAGTAGCGCTAAAAGGGTGAAATCATCAAGTGGCCGCTTCTTTCTCTGGAGCACTGGGTTCCAGCCCAGGCTCCATGAAAGAGGCCCTCTCTGATGGGAGGTCATAGTTGGATGCAGTAGCTGACTGCTACTGATAGATGCCCCCCACCAACCAGTACCTGCTTCAGATGGTTTCTTTGCTCTTTGCATTGGGGTTCACTGCCCCCAAATCCAGGAATGCAAATGACACCTGTTTCCCCTTTAATCTAATTTTTGTAGTTGTGTGTGCTTGTACTGTAAATATGAGATTTCTTGGGAAAGATCTTTCTTCCTTCCCTTACCAAAACAAAAGTGCAATATGAGACTTACTTGGTGGTCCTGTGTAGATGCTGTTGACCTGCATCACATAACATCATAGAAACAGTGGAGGTGAAATTTAGAGAGCTCTTGTCTTTGAGATTCTTGAGCCAGATTGGATGGGTCGGCAGCTCATGGAGCCTCATTACTTCTTATTACGCAGGGAGTAAGATGGGTGTGAAGAATGTGGAATTTTTGGAGAGATCTCGGTTGGAATTCCAGACTTTGACACCTGTTTGTTATGGAGTCCTGGGCAAGTTTCTTAAGATTGTTTTTACCTTTTCTAAAATAAGAGCAATAATAATGACTTGGAATCGTTGTGGGCGGTGCCTGCCCTGCTTAGGAACCACACAAGAACTGTGTGGTGAGCCTGAGCTTGGTGCTAAATTCCTGCCTCCTAGTGCAGACAGAGCTCCTCCAATTGTTTTATCCTCTGACTTTAACAATAGTTTTGGAATGTGAAATAGGAAGAAAAGGGCTAAAGGTGTAGGGAAAGTGGGAAGGGTAGGAGAAAGGTAATAAGGGAAAAGAAAAAATATGAGAAAATGAAAAAATGGAAATAAAGTGTTTGTAAATGGGGAGGGGAGGAAGGGTGAAGGGAGGGCAGGGACAAGGGGAAAAAATGAGAACCAAGATCTATCGTGTAAAGGTACAAGATCCCAATAATGAATGTAACTGTATTTTATACCTAGAATGGACCAATAAACTAATGAGAAAAAAATACAAAAACCAAAAAACAATAGTTTTAGAGCCCCAGCAACTGCTGTGTGCATGTGGGATTCTTGGTTCTCCTAATTTGTTAAAGTTGCCCTTTGCTCACTGCCTTCCTGTGCACCAATTCTGCTGCCTAAACATCGTCTCCCTCCCCATCGTGTTGGCTTCCATGTTATAGTTCACATGACCCAAATCACCCCCAGGAGGTGTGTCCTCCATGTTCAGGGATCAGGTAACTTGTGCAGTGCACATATGGCTTTTCTCACCCCTAGTTGTCTTGGTTCATGAGTGGCCCTTCCACTGCTGAGGGATTAAACAGAGCACCTGCTGTGCAGTGGTGGTCGGCACAGGCTAAACCCGAGCCGTTCCAGAGTCGCAGCCCACCTCCACTCCCCTCCTGGTGGCGGCTGGTCTCTTTCCACATGGATCCCGCATACATTGGGCCCAGTACAGATCCCATGCAGAGCAAATACGCAGCAAGGGCTTGTTGATTCGATAACACTTTTTGTTCCCTGAAGTGGCCCAGGATCCTAG